ACACTACCGAAGAGATATATATTGCGGAGATGCATTAGAGATATTACTCGGCACACACGCGGGCTGCAATTCACTACGACGGTGCGAAGCATTTGCTGTGTTAGCGTACATTGCTACATATGATGAAGAGCGAACTTGTTAGATAATATAGTGGATTGGATTGCAATCTAAACATATAAGGACTACAAAGTCGAGCTCCGGAAGTAATCTCCTTGCCACGCAGACTATGCATTTGGGTTCTCAATCTATGACGTCACACCACACCGTTAGTGGGAGTGTACATGATCCCAAATGTTCTAATAGGAAGGGCACACCAAGGAAATTTAGGAAAAAAAGTCCATTGGAGTCGAGTTCGAGAAAAACAAAGGTAAACGTTAATGTTTTGCTTACCGTATAATTATTATAATGAATGTCACTCATCAAGCATTCCAATGTGATGTAGGCAATGTCGAATTCAAACAAAAGTAATAGAACGAGAGTACATAAAAGTAATCTGGGACACGATGCACCCATTCTTTGGACACCTGAACAAGTACAACTGACAATGCCCATACCAACCTCATATTCTCAACTCCTACTGGTTATTATATGCATAGTATTCAATGAAGTGAATTTAATTTATTAATTATGTATTCATTTTATGTAGGGTGATGCAGAAAGTCATGCAGTTACACACCCATATACATATTCGAATGTGATTCCTCCGTCATCATCACATGTGCCTTTCAATTATGACGGTTTTTTTTAATTGTGAAATGTATCTATTTATCATTCCTTTCATTAGTCGACTGTCGAATGCTGATGTAGTGTTTTTGTTAGGTAATGTAATATCGTACTACTATCCGCATGTAGTGTACCAAGCGGGAACTTTCGTAAGATTAGTTGACGCAACACAACTGCAGATGATGTTGTTCGGTTGTAGTTTATTTTCAAATTGTTCATTCAATTGTTTTCATATTTCTCGATATGACATTGTAATTCGTAAAAGTGAAATGAATGGAAGATTGGATTCGAATATGAAAATTGAATTATGTGTTGTACTCTGTTAGAAATAAATAATTTCTGTTGAATTTATAGAATGGATTTGGAACGAGCTAGAGCCTTATTTATATTAATAAACTTCTCATGGTAAAGAAATTCATTAACATGGTGAATGTTGACAACTAAACAATAATTTTGTATTGCTATGTAGAAAGTCAGATAGTTAGAAAGAAAAATGATAAAGAAATTCATTAACATGTTAGTGGAGGAGAAGTTGCAAATAAATACTACCATCTATGATGCCTCTTGTCAAGGAGGTGGAAATGGTGAAATTTCGAGTTTGCATATTGAATCTTGTGGTATTTGTAAGAGTGCATTAGGAGAGCATAATATAATTCAAATTTTTGACTTTTGAGTTCGGCGTGTATTTGACATAAACAGTAGATATGGCAAAAGTAAATAATCCCCACTTAAACATAAAGTAGTACACATAGAAGCGATTTCATTGTACATAAACATACTCTAATAGCATACCAAAACAAACTATGACAACATATAACAAAGTGAACTACTTGACTGAAAGTGAAATGTTAAAAACATTAGACTACAACAACTATAGAGCCGATTTCAAAAATGGAGTGTTATAACTCCAGCAAGGGCCTTTACCTCACAGAATGGTTCTCTTCGCATGTCCATTATCCTTTGTCACCCTTTTTCCCTTTTACATAGTAATGTTGACGGATATCTCCACATCCTTTTGCTCAATGATTTGAGCAAAAGTGGTGAACATGCATGACATATTTTGACAAGGTTGTTTATCGTTGCATGTACACTTTGAACCACAAGGAGATTCGCAGTTTCACTTGACTTCATTTTCCCACTTGAAATTACTGCAATCTCTAGTACAACAGAAGAACAATCGCCCAATGTTTTTGGTATTTTTCTTGACCTCCATACACTTCTCAATGCCATTTCCACAGTTTGGACATCGTTTCTTCGATGGATAGTCAGACAATAAATGCTCAGATTTCCTACAGTTATGACAAATGCCCCTATTCTTTCCTACCATATCTCCTAACAGAGGGAAAACAGTGAATTGAGCTATCAACGACAATGATATTTGTTTTGTAGAAATGGAATTTCTTAGCATACTACATAGTAAATGATGTAACCAATTATTTAGGATCACCAAAATAAACCAGTTTACATAAAATCATAATTCAATTGTAGAGTTGAATAGAACTTATGCACAGAGAAAACTATGGAGATAACACAAGAATTTTTCTGTAAGAAAAGCTTCTACATTTTGCCTCAAACATTGAACAGCACAACTATTGCACAACCCAACTTATTGTTCATCCCCGGCATAGAACAAAATGTCCATATACAAGTATGATTCACAAATTGGGGACAAATACTGATTTCAATTTGAATTCAAAGATATATGAAAAATGCAATCCCTTGATTCGAACTCAAAATTATGCTGCCTTATTTAATCTTACCCAAAACAAGGAGTTACACGGTGGTATACAAATTTCGACGAAGGGAGGAAGGAGTTTAGTTGTCAGTATGTCAGCGACCGGAAATGGCAACGAGTTCAGTCATGGTTCCAATTCATACTTAGCTGAAATGAAAAACCATTGGGTGTAAACGATTTCATGTTCTCCCGCCGACAAGGATGAAGATGTTATTTAGTGGTTGGTTGACAGCCCGAGGTGACGACCTGTTTAGTGGAGAGAATCTTAGGGTTTTGCCGTGGTTGGAGCTTCTATTTGTGCCCAAAAGAGGAGATAGATTGTGTGGGAAAAAAAAAACGTGTTTTGTCCCTTTTTGTTTTTGCCTTTTTAAAACATTTTCTAGCTAGATTGTAAACTTTATTGTCATTCACACTGTATGCAGGATACAGTCCAGTCTTATTTTCATCGTGAGAATACCATCTCAACTCTAATGATTACGATCCATTTTCGACATGAACCTATTGAATGTACTCACTGCAAAGGCTAGGTTAGGTCTAGTATATACTATCAAATACGTAATAGAACCAATTACATTTAAATATTGAGCACTCCCCATGTATACTGCTACTTCACGATTAACAAGTGATATATCTTTGGGGGGAAAAAACAAAATGATTTGCTAAAGGCAATATAACAGACTGACATTAATGCACGCCAAATTTCTTTAACAATTTTAACACATATTGAGTTCAAAATAATAATAATAATAATAATAATAATAATAATAATAATAATAATAATAATTGACATGCTCCTATCTATTTCCATGTCTAGGATTCTTTTAGCTTTTTCCAAGTCTTTCATGTCAAATTCTCCGCTCAATTATTTTTTCTCATTTATCAACTTTATAGAGGAGCCAATCAAGATCATATCATCTACATACAATTATAAGAATATGAAATCATTATTAACATCATTATGTTGATAGTATAAGTAATTAATCAAATTTACTCATTTGAAAATTAGTAGTTCGAACAAAAAAATCAAACCTCTTATACGGTCTGTGAGACTATTTCAAATCATACAATGACTTTCTAAGAAACATACATGATCTCATTTTTGTTTACCTTTAGAATCTTGGAGCTAATTCATAAAGATCTCTTCATAAAATTCACCATGTAAGAAATTTTTTTTAATATCAAGTCTTCAGTCAAAATATATAACAAATGCAAGCATAACTATAATAGTACTACACTTAACAACTGGAGAAAAGATCTCATTTACGTAACCTATACATACTAATCTTGCTTTAAATTTTAAAATTTCAATCTTAGTGGTACCATCTTTAATCTTAAAAACCTACTTACAATAAACTATTATTTATTTTTAGGTCTAAGAACTAACTCTCAAATGCGATTCTTAGCTAGAGAACTTATATCCTCTTTAATTTCTTTCAACAACCACTGACCGATCACTCTTCATGACATTCTCATAGGTATTTGGCTATTTATCAACTAACTCTTGATAACTAGGCAAAAGCAAATTCAGATTCATACCCGAATCTGTGGAGCTCTCTTGATCGATCGATCGATCTAACTCATAGTCTAGTATGGCATCTTGCTGAATGGGATGTACTTCTATAACTATTTCTCTCATATCTTCTACTTCAGGTTGCTGAATTTGAGTCTCCACCTCATTAGAAGTGAGAAGGATGTGTACTAATTCTATCTAACTCCACCTTGCTGATTTTCGTTCAATTGTACAGGATCAAATCCTATACGAGACATTTCGGACTCATTAAATATGACATTTGTACTAAAAAAGATCTAACTCCCTTTTAACGTTTATCCCACAACCTATATCCCTTGACTTCCTTAGAACGTAAATATGTCTACACAGCCATTCTAAACTCTAAAGGCCGGCATGGCCAGATTCCACCCTCTTCACAACCCTTTTTTGTTGGCTGCTGTCAACGGGTCCAAAATAAAACTGTAGTTTCTTATTCATAAAATCTTAGCATAGAATCACAAATCTTCTTGTCTTCACTTTTTTTATTCTTTTTTTTGTCCTTCTCTTTGAAGACCTTTTCTTCAATTTTCAGATTTTTTTGTTAATCTATTTTATATTAATTTCATATAAGTTTAGACGACTCGTAGAGAGAATTGAGGCGGATCACGGATGCTGAAGATTCAAATATAATAAATAAACTTTTGTCTTGTTTATCACATTAATATTTTAATGTCCGTTATGATTTAACATTAGTTTAAAATACATATTTAAATTTTTGACGTTTTACATCTTTACTTTTCAACTCATTAAACGAAAAAATAATTTAATACTACAACATGGTTGAGATGAATATATGCAATATAAACAAATAATTATTATTTCTCTCTAATAACGTAAATATTTAGACAATAAATATTCAGTATGATATCAAAATATAGATATAAATAATATACATAACAATTTTAAACATTTGTATGCACTTTGATATCATAGAAATCTTTTTTTCTTATTCACCATAAACACGCAAAAAAACTAATAGTACTTACAAGATGATCACGTTACAAGAGCTTCAATACTTGCATTCCTTTCACTGTCATCATTGGTCAAGAAATCCCAGATACTCATTGTGTTACTATGATCATATTCCCAGTCTAAAGTTGGTAAAAAATGAAAATCTTCAAGAATATTTGACGATTCAACATCATAAGGAGTCGAAGTAGAAGAAGATGTTGGAGTTGATAAATTTACAAAAGGAACGAGAATTTCATGGGTTTCAATGATAGGGACTTCATCAATGCAAAAGTTATAGTCCACTTCCATTGAATTATCAAATGGGATTTTGTCTTCGTGTTTAGCTTCTGTAACAGTTGACTGCAACGAGGTCTCAGCCATGACGGCGGCCTCCTTCTCTGGTGGTGGTTCTTGTCTTGTTTGGTGATTTTGTGGCGGTTTTTCCGCGGTGATCATAGGCAGTGGCTTATGGTTGAGAGGATCAATCCCCATTTTCTTTAGCTTTTTCTTGATGTGGGTGTTCCAGTGATTCTTGATCTCATTATCAGTTCTTCCGGGAAGGTGTGAAGCAATCTTGGACCATCTGCATCCATCCATACATAAAAATATATTCAAGGAAAAACTAAGGTAAAAAGCTATTGAGTCAGCTGCATGTTGAGAAGATAACGATGAACGAAATCAATTTGAATATGTTTAGTACATTCATGAAATACGAACCTATTTCCAAGCTCAGCATGGAGATCAATGACCATTTTCTCTTCAAATTCTGATAGAAGTCCCCTCTTTAAGTCTGGCCTAAGATAGTTTGTCCATCTCAGTCTGCAGCTCTTTCCACACCTCAACAGTCCTGCAATATGCCATCAACCATATCAATGAAACAAAATTCCGATGCTAGTTGGTTCTTTCGCATTTGACTAAACATTTAGGGGTAAAGAACTATTTCGGTAACGGCTGAGAGAGCGCAATACCAAATCAAGGCAGACTCTGAAGAAACTCCCTTTATTTATCTATCTATATAGGTACGTATTAATATTCAACATATAAAGGCTTGGATAAGTCCTCTTAACAAGATTGACTTTTTAAAATGGACCTCAAAATCCTTGAACCCATTAAGCTCAAACGAGCATCAGATGGGTATGTTAAAAGTGATATAGATATATGATACATAAATGTTTGAATTATTCTTCTTAACAAGGTGACTTTTTTAGGATGGAACCTCAAGATCCGATCATACACAAATTACCTGCAAGTTTTGGGAGAGCTCTCCAGCAGCATTGGCCATTGGTGAGAATGAAATTGATGAGTTTTTCGTCTTCCTCAGCAGTCCATGGCCCCTTCTTTAGTCCAACTTTATCACAGCATGGTTGCCTTCCCATTTTCAATTCTAACTCTATATTTATTTCAAGTGATTAATCAAAATGAAGAGAGAACAGTACAGATTTGAATAGGAAACTGGAGAAAAACACCAAACTCCCTAATTACAGAACATACCTACACATACATTTATAAGAAGTTCAGTCAACACAAAAAAGAAGAAAAAAAACATTAATTTGGTATTTTCAAATTGTCTGTCTGGCATAGGAGTTCCATAATATATGACCCCGCATGTTCGTGTCTACCTTAATTTACTAGAATAAAAAGCACAAAATGAGATAAATGTAGTTAAATTTTTTTTTTTACTTGTGATAAATAATCTTAAATTGTATGATATTATGAGTGGCAACCCATTATCATGTGTGAAATTTGATAAAATAGGAGTCCTCCAAAGTTGACTTGACAATTAGGTAATATCTCCTACTCAAAAGGCAAGAAATACTGATAAGTCAAAGGTGGAAATTGGGCCGTTAATAAGTGTAAAAATCTACACTCTTGGCCTCTTTGTTGGTGTTTCAGAATGAATTTTTGTTTCTTAGGACGAAATTGATGGTAAACATGCGGAAGATAAGAAGAATAACTAGTTCTGAAATGCACTTGGAAGTTTGTAAGTGAAGAGTCGAGTTCCCGAATGCTGAAGATGAAAATAGGAAAAAAAAATGTATTTTCGAGCCAAGTAATTTTCGCTTACAATAAAATAAATTCCGAAACACTAATAAAAGCCTCAAGAAGAGGTCCACGCAAGTGTAGATTTTACTCTTTTTAGACAACTCACTCCATCGACAAATTCCTAAGTAATATGTAATATTTCAACCTAAGCTCTTCAGTACTTGATATGTTGAATTCCGTCCCGTTTCATTATTCCTACCTTAGCATGGTTACTCCAAAAGACGTGTACGAAGATATTAAATGTTTTTTGATATATTAAGAATAAGTTTAGTAAAGCTTATAAAGTGATCAAACATCATTTTTATCTACACATTTTATAGGATTCGTATTTTTTATCCACACATTCCGTAAAATTCACATACGTCGCCTTAAAGCTAAAAGTAGAAGACACCAAATGCTTTACAATAATAATTATAATTATGACATTAACAATGCTTGTCATTATACTTTTAGTAGAAAATTATTTTTTGTGCACTCTAAATGGGACCCACAATCGTATTTGCAAAGCAAAATTATCCAAACTTAATTTGGTCAAAGATTAGAAGATAAGAAAAAACCTAAAGTAATGAAAATTATTATTGCCAAATTGACATAACAATTCTTCGATTGAATGACTAATATTAATTATTACACACACAATAATTTAAGGTTTATTTATGATGTTATGTGAAAAACGTTGTTATAGAAGTTTCTAAATGATCAAGTCGTTTTTTATTTGTAACCAGTCGAAATGCGATTGAGATAATTAATTGCTCGAACTGATCTTATTTATCATGAAAAAGTGAGATAATTATTTTGCCTTCCCCTCGATATAATTATCATAACCCCATACACAAAATTTAAGGAGCTTCATCTTTGTCTTTCTCGTGGAAAATACTCAATTCTTTTTCTATACTTTTGTACTCACTACTTCTCGCTCTTTAGGAAATTTAAATTCAAGTGGGTCCGTTTGATTGCAAGAGTAAAATTTGAGTGGAAAGAAAATGAATTCGAGGAAATTGAATTGCCTAGAATTGTTTTCCTGGGAATTGTCAATTAATTACGTTTGATTAATACGATTTTTCGCATGAAAAATATTGAAATTTTGGATTTTTTGTTGTTCGTTTGGTTTCATTTTACATGAAAATTATCCATTAAATGAATATAATTTGTTATAATTGGGGATATAATTTATTTTCATTGCCAAAAAAAAAAGCTAGAAAACCAGTTTCCCACCAAAGTGGTGGGAAAACCAATTTAATGAATAGCAAGAAAAGAGGGTCACGTGGAGCTTTGGATGGAAAACCAATTCCATGGAATTTTTGGCCAATCTAACATGCAATAACTTGGAAAATGAAAAATAATTTCCAACTTTCATTGAAAATAAACCCTATCAAATAGGGAATACAAAGTAAATAACACATTAATTAATTAGTTTGAGTGTGCTTAAAACTTATTTCCAATTTTTCTAGATTAAAACTTTTTGTGAGTGACCATCAAGACGCGGTTATAGAAAATTTGCATGATATATGACCAAATTTCCCATGTGAAAGCGGATGCCGTCTAAATAGACTACTTTTCATTATTTGAGTCTTTCAACCTAAGAATGATTCCATTCACACTCTTTTTTAGAGGTTTTTGTTTGTCCATTCTAAATAGGGGTTTAATCCTCCAAATAATACTTGTATCCTTGCATATTTGATATGTTAGACTATATAATGGTCAAATTTTGTCGCATGTTTATGTTCTTGTTCAAATTATCAAAAATTCCCGAAATTGCAAGATTTAGGGGTTGTTCTCTTTGTATTTTGAGTTTTCAATTCATTTTGAGTTTTGTGTTTTGAGTGTCCATTTTGAGATTATTGAAACTTTGTTTTTTTGGCATTTTGAAAAATTATTTTGAAAACACCCAAAACGAGTTATCAAAATTTTAACTTGATTATAACAGAAAATACCCAATTTGTCTTTTTGGGTTTTATTTGTAAATTTTTAATTTGTTTTCAAAAATGCGTTTTCCAAAATAAGAAAGAGAGCGTATTTTCACTGTTTTGGAACTTGAAAACAGAAAACTGCTTGAAAATAGTAAAAAGAACAGACCCTTAGTATCTCAAAAAATTAAACAATGGGACATAACTACATTCGATAATAGTGTCATTTATTTGCAAGTGTATCCCTGTTCAACTTATCAAACATCATCGAAATTATATGATAAAATATCACGAAAATGTTAAATTATGGGATATGGATAGATTCCACAATAGTGGCCGTGTGTAAGACTTGGAGCACATTTTGACTTGGGTTGGCAACAAGTTAATTTGGTTACTTATTTTTTACATGATGAACATGTCAAAGTACTCGGACGCTAATATCGGCATCAACTAGTGAAGTTGAAGAGCCACGAACAAAACTATGCATAATGAAATTGATTACATGTTTATCTCTCATGCTTTCTTTAAATAAAAAAATAAAAATTCTACGAACTCATTTTCAACCACACATTCACGCAATAAAATATTTTACATGTAAATCTAAAAATGTTTCCTACTTTTAACCATACATTCTCTAAAAATCATCGTTTAAAACAATATGTTTCAAAAAAAAAAAAAAAANTTTTGAAATTTCAAAATTATAGTAACATGCTGTAACTTGATTAGTGAGATAATCAAGGGGATAGAGAGATGAGGACCATAAAACTAGACTCGTCGCCCACTATGCCCCTGTTTGGTCCCCATTATTTGGCATTTTTGATAGTTGAAAATTTTTGGAATAGTGATTGATGGGAGAATGTGTAATGGAAAAGTAATGAAAATTTTTAGATTTTTGTATAATATTATTTTATTTGATGAATGTGTGATTATAATGAAGAGAGAAATTTAATATAATGTAATTTAATTTAATGGGAGGCAAACATGTGCTATATTGATATTCACGGTAAGCTATATTGCACTAACTACTATGACATGTCTGACACATGTCAAGTCGGACACCAACACTGTAACATAATATATAATTTTAACTCAAAATTATTTTAGCGAAAGCAAATAATCTACAATTTTATCATCAAAAAGCAAAACTAAAAAAATGATTTTATCCAAACAAAAAAAAGTATTAAACTATAAACCGGCATGTCCCGTCCTACTTTATAAAATAAAATAAAATAAATCATATTTCAGTGTATCCATGCCATGTCATGTCCGTCCATGCAATATAGATGGTAAGCACCCATAGTGCTTCCTAGCATTATTGTTTTTCAATCTTGCATTCAGCTTAATCATCAAATCAAGACATTTATGAAATATGATCCAAGAGATGCTTAATGTAAATGCTACTTGCACACGTCATTCATATTTCCAAATTGTATGCCTCAAGGACAGATAAATATTTACACAGTGAACAAGAGGGGAAATTTCTCACAAATAAGCTTAACTACTAGATTAAAATATAATTGGTGCAATAGCCAAAATCTGTGCAACAGCTTTGGACAAAAAGCCCTACTACATGCTGATTTGTTATTAGCAAAAACTTGCAAATTGGAATACCGAGCTACCTTCAATTAAGTTCTAGCTTGATTTCATGAGGCTGATCAACGTTGGATTCCATTAACTTGCTCGGAATACCAGAGACTATTGTGCCACCATTATAACCATCCATAAGCAGCTTTCCAATTTTCGACCTCCATTCTGAGCTATCCTTTTCATTCTTGTGGTCATGAACAACTCTATCACGATAATTTAGCATTGTTCCAAGACCAGTATTTGGTACCCAACCATATTCCATCAACACTTTGGCTTCTCCTTCAGTTAAATCCTCTCCTACCTGTATGTAATTGAGGCTTATTAAGAATTTTGAGAATCTGGAAAATGATCCTAAGATGGCTAATCACAGAAGAATGATATATTGTTACAAGGTCCAATATTTTATCTGTCTCAACACTAATATCCATAACAAAACCCAGTAAAACAGACAAACCACATATAGCAAGTTCGGTGCGCAGGACTAGAAAGTATAATGGACAAAGATTTTTGCTTCTTTGTGTTCTTTAATACTGTCCAGTTATCTCCAATCCTCCTCAAGAAACATGCTATTAAGGAACAATACATAAATAGATAATCAAAGAAAAGCATGGAAATCCAGCTCTTCAATATAGTTCTTGTATATCAAAGAGTTGAAAGCAGACCATCAAGTGGATTAATACACTACTGCGAAACAAACAGTAATACATAAGTTAAATAGTGTTACACTTTCACTTGGGCAAAAGATTTGGGCAAGAGTTATTACCAGCAATGCTTTGTTCTCGATCAAGGTAACCCTGCCACAGCTAGTAAGCTTCATAGCAGTCACCAGTCGTTTTATCTGCCAAACTATAGGTAAGGAATCCACCAAGTCAAAGAAGTACGTCGCATAACCATATTCAGGACGTTCAAGCACCATCCTACAATCATGAAAAGAACCAAGTTTCTTCTTCACCTCACGTGGATATATTTGAATATTATAGAAGATAATTAATGCAAACAATATTACACCTGTTATGTCTTTCAAAGACAAAAATAAATGACTGGAGGTCCCTGCACCACCCCCATTCAACTGGCCACTTTCGGAACTGCAGATATCGTGCCTGAGAACAAAAGGAATGGGTTAAATTATCAAATTATCAAACGGCATAAGCAAATGATTTCATGTAGGAATACAAGTAGATGACGCACACAGATTTAGTCTTTATCTGGATAATAAACAAAAATCTGAAGGGAAGTTAATACCTGCTCCACTAGTGAAAATAGGCAAGCCAAGCAATAGGAAGCCCTCTCCCCCTTAGCATGTCGTAACGGAGCAAACTTTAACAATGTGTGCCGCTGGGAGAAAATCTGTACCCACAGAATAAAATCATACATTTATTGCTCAAGAAATGTAAAAAGATATTGCACCATAACATTTTATTGAAGGGTCACAAGTACACTGAAATGTAACAACATGTTGTAAGGGCTTACAAATAATGGTAAAGGGTGGCAAATCATATGCTCTTGTGATCAGAAGCACTTTGCCTCACCCATCACAATGTATCATCGTATATACTGTTTAACACTTTGAAATCCCTACATTCTAGACATTCTTGGCGTGACATCATTATAAATGTTTTTATATATTTTCCAAAATTCATTCATTTATGCTATGCATTTTCCAAAACCATTCATTCATTCGATGCTTTTAGCTCTTCCACGAGGAAAAAGTTAAATTTTTCTTTTCATTTATCGCTTCCCCCCTATACTGAGAAGAAAAAGAAAAGAAGGATGAGAAACAGGATGTGACCAACTTCTTCAATGATGATCAACTTTTTTTCTGCACAAGGAGTATTATATAAATTCCATGTTGGCAAGGAATGGAAACCCATGAAGGAATATTTCTTTCAGTTGATAGGCAATGGAAAAATATTTGCATATCACTGAAGCTTATATAATTCAAAACTATTCTAGCTCTGCAGGTGATGCAGACCCCATGTCATCAAGTGCAGATAGCACAACATGGAGGGAGATGCTTGAAAGATATGAAATTGCCCAAGAAAGTGCCTCTTTGAAATATATGAACACTCTGATACTGAATATAATAGCGTTGCTGCATTAGGAAAACATATAACAGAATATACCATTAGCTGAGCAAATAAAACATATTAAGTCTTAACATGTCAAAAGAAAAATTATTAAAAGGATTCAACTTTAAATTCACAAACATTTCGATATTTAGAAGTGCGAAGAGAAATTTTTAGGTCTTTTTGTCATGAAATAATGGCAGAAGCATTATTAGAAAAGGCATTTGCGAAATGTGACCATGGAAGTGTATTTTTTCATCAATATTGGAGATTCTGCATCTTATCTTAAAATAATTAACACTTTATTACAAAACTAATTTTCTTATTTCAATAAAATAGTTTTACTTTGCCAACAAAAAGCCTTCCAGTTTTTCTATTCCCTAATAGTCACATCCCGTGCACTTGCACATGTTTAATGCTAGTAAATAATAATAAATGAGTAATATATGAACAAATTAAACCTTCAGCAACAGTGTAAAGCAGGAAAAACATATGTTAAAACTTCTAATACTAGCTACAGCATAATAATTTTCACATTTTAGAAAAAAAGTATTCATGATAAAGCATATCCTGTTTGCATATAAGTGCAATGCCACAATCAAAAGGATGTACTCCAACAGCAAATTAAAGCAGGCAGCAAGGAAGAGTAATAACTCAATCAATGCGTTTTAATATTAACACCGTAAGTCAGATTGGATAATTGAGTCAGCCAACTATCAGGTTTGAACCCCCAAGACTTTTGTCCCTATAATGTTTGAGGAAAATGCTTTATATCAAGTATCAAAAACAAATATCTTGTCCCCCCATTCATTCAATAATTCCATTTCATCAGTTACTTGATACAGTAAAGATGCCATCATGCAGATGGCGGATGCAATATAAATCATACAGAAAAATATAAATTTGTCAATTATGATATAGCCACAACCTTCGAGATAATGTCTTCAAGCTCTGCAAAGTTGTCTTCAGTGGACGAATCATCCAAAGCATCATTGCTCTCCAACTCACCATAAAGCTTAATTTCACCAATTGTTACACCTTTTTCAATTAACACCTATCCAGGAGAAAGATTTCAATGAACAGCCCACAATTCAGAGGACAGCAGAGCTTAAATCTGTATATACCTGCAAGAGTCCAGGAGCATCTTCTTCCATGGCTGTTTCAACTGAATCTCTGCAATTAGCACCATGAACAGTACAGTATTTTAATCTTGTACATAATTCTGGAAAATGTAATAATGTAAGCGTAAATTTGAAAAGACAGCGAAAATTTACGTGGCAGTTTTTCTCCTTTTCCGTGGACGGTTGACTTTCAAAGGTTTTGCAGGTTTTGATGCAACTGATCTACAATCCAAGTCCGAAGGAAAAAAATTTCTTTGGCATCCTGAACTTCCATAAATACCCAAACGAGGAACCTCTCTTGACGAAAACAATCTCATCCGATGTTGCAGTATCATGTGATCCAGTTCATCTCCATGTTCATCAGGTAATTCTAATTCACTTTTTACTGGAACAGTGACGTCAAAGGACATGTGACCTGAAATTCCATCCACTCTCATAAACTCATAATGATTTGAAGGCTCGACCTTGACCTGAGCTAAGTTCAGTATTGCTGAACTTGGCATATTCCTAATATCAGCAGACAAAAGAATCTGTTCATTTGGTTCATGCTCGGAGAAACTTTTTTCAGAGTATATCCTATTGTTTCTATGAATGCTTGGCATATTTCCTAGATTAGTTGATTTGTTTTCTTGACAGCGATGCTCCTGTATGGCACATTGAAGAGGTTTGCAGGATTTTTTCAGAGTAGAAGCATCAAATGAATCAGATGGCAAAGTCTTGTCAATCTCATGAAATTGATTGCCAGATGAAGAAAATATTCCATGACCAAAATCTTGTTCTGGTTTTCTTTTTCGGGGCCTTTGCTTATGTCTGTCTGCTGAATATGGGCTAGTTATCCCAGAAGAAATATCCTGTGTAGCAAACAGCAATCACAACTTTATTAGAAAATGCAAAAGGTGAAACAAAAAGTCTCTATCAACTTATCTCATTTATCATCGTGGGGACCATTGCCATAATATTAATATGCAAATATAATTTCTAATTGCAGGAGCGGTTTCGGAAGTATTAGGAAGCCCACGTTATGCAGAAATATACGACAGAGAAAGACCAAAAAGGACATCATCAGTAAATGGAGAAACATATTATATTCAGGCCATAAAGAGTATGATATATATCACAAGAACCATATTAAAAACTTTTGCGTGTCACAATAACATAAACCAAAAATCTCTATATTGAGAAAGCTCTAATAAGCCACCAGTTAATTAATCAAGCCAGGAAAAGAAGAAGACAAGACAACGAATTTGTCAAGTTTCATCTTTAAGAACTACATTACTGTATGCAAAAAAAGAAAAATCAGTTTCTCATCCTCATGAAAATTTTAAGTAATTTCTTCAATAATTGGGCATTAGAAACTAAACAATGTCAAAGCTGAACACGGGGACAAGGTTAAGAATGAATACAATATACTTTAGCATTTGTAACATATTTTCTGCAAAAATGTTAACATTCGTGATTGTTAAAAAATTTCCCGCATGTGTATCAGTGCATGTGTGTGTGAAGCCTTACAACCACTAATTGAAGAACACCTTATAGACAAGTGCTAGATACAGACACGCCACCATAGTGAGAGTGTACACACTTCATAGATAAAAAAAAAAAAGAAAGAAAGAAAAAAAAGCTGTTGACGGAGAATAATAACTTGGTTGCTGCAAGTGGTGTTGTCACTGAGAGGTATAGATACAGGAAATTTCACGTCAAACCAAATATTTTGAGAATATTCTGATTCTCATGAAAATTAACAAATAGGAGAATATAATTCATAAAAAAGGAGATTATGTTGGAAAGACAACAAGAAACACATCATTAATGAAACAAGTAATATATGCACATGCAAGAAAGTTCCTCACTAACACGTGACTGTAAGACAAGATAAATAACGTAACCCAAAATAAATCAGTGCTTCAATAATGGAAAATTTAGAACACTAAAGAAAGAACAAAGGAAAAGCACAATCAAAGAGCATGGAAGACGAATAAATAGAACAGGCTCAGCTCCATTAAATGCTCTTTACTTAAAATACCATATTTCTTCATTTGATTGATGAAATTATTTTTACCATATTATTGCCGTTAACCTTTTTTGTTTGACAATTTCATTGATGAGTATTAATTAATTTATGGTTTTTTGGGATCAGGATAGTGATTTAATGAATTACAAAAATATAGTAAGAAAACAGGAAGTAGTTTACAACATAGAGTTCAAAAAATGGGGACTTAGCCCAAGAAGAGATACTGTTGCACTTAAAAAATATGTACAGCTTGAAGCCTAGTAAGCTGGCCAATCTGTGTGACATGCATAAGTGCCTCTCTTCTTTTCCAGCATACTCACTTTGAGGCCAGTCTTCCAAAGAGAGAGATAGAGAGAAAATGACAACAAAAATGATGCACGCATAAGATGCATGCGTAGAAAAAGCATAACACCTTTCATTCATTCAAACACGGATGCATTTGAACATGATCGCCAGCCTACCTTTCATTCAAACATGATCAGCTAGCCTACCCATCTCGGGCAGTTGATGAGACTAATGCATATATATGCAGGTCCAATTTCAAGGCCAACTAGGGATATTGGAATTATATCACAAATCTCACAAAATTATCATCACATTGTGTCAGCAGTAAGTTGCAAAATGTTTTCTGAGGTCAACAGACAATTGAAAAGACAAGAATTTAAGCCTTAGTTTACTAATGAGTTCACATATCCAGGAAAAGGAAAGAAGCAAAGCGTGTTGCAATACAGGTTGACCACACCAAGGCCAATGATTGTTTTAGTTTGATCCTAATTATTTCAAACAAACTCAATTCTTGTAAACTGCATTAGACTAAGAATATCCTTTTAAAGTTAGATTAGGCTTTCTAATTTTTAGCATTCCTTGAGGGTTCGGCCTCATTGCTCAATACTTGCAAGCATAATTAATGTTTTACAACATTGACCAATTAAATCTTGAATAAGACACCATACATTTTTTACATATTTAAGTCGTACAAGAAGTCGATGACAGGTGATTAGATTAGCCATGTGATAATCGAAATTTAACACCTTTTAGTTAAGACCAGGAATCCTGCAAACATATCAACAGTTGGCGTTTTATAGGATAAGTTTTGCAGGACTACATTATCTATAAATACCACAAATGAAAAATTTAAAGCTTGTTCCACATAAACCAAGGGTAAGGTACACGAACCTTAACCGTGCAATCAAGGACCACCTTTACTAAAAAATTCTACGAAGTCAAATCTCTTACACCCAACTCTGTACACGACATTTTTGGTCTACTTCTTATTCTTTCTAACAAGTCCAAACATGCATTGTCCGTGTCAATAAGAGTTGCTTTAGGACTCGAGACTTGTTCGACAAGCAAATTCTTCGTATCCTTAATTAATCTTAAATTTATGCTATTTCTACCTTTTGACATATATCCCCATTTCTTATGTTACCCATTCTAATGTCATCAAAAAACCATCTTAACATTCTCATTTCTAATATATTCACTTATAGGCGTTTTGTAACTAGCCTCTGTTTGAGCTACATTCTCATTCTTCTACTCATTTTCAACCACACATTCTTCAATAAAATAATATTTTTCATCCCATCAATAACTTTTCCTTCTTTTTCAACCACATATTCACCATCACATCACCCAAAAAAAAATGCATTATCTCCTAAAAAATGTGCATCAAACACACCCCTAATATTTATTTTACTATTAGAAATATATAAGATAGCCCAAATGGCTACGCTTGAAGAGTTCATTTATTTAAAAGTGCAATTCTTAGTTTGTTGCTTTGCATTATGCAGTGCCATAGCAATTACTTTGCAGAGGTGGTTGGTGCACCACTATGATGCCAATGAAAAAACCAAATAGAATAGTTTTCTTATAGAAAGTAAGACAGATGCACAAGCCTACAGAGTCAAGTCGCCCAAATTAAAAGATAAAAGTTACAGGTCACCACCCATGTTACAAAATCACATAGTTTAATAAAGTTTAAGAAGCACGTATGATGCACACATGAAAATCCACAAAAACCAGGGAGTAAAAAGAAAGTAATAGCCTTTAGGTAGAAATTTAATTAGATATCAGTTCCAAGACCTTAACAAACTACCATCCACTTCAACTTAACAAAATACAAAGAATTACCTCAGGAGTAGTTGCCAACGTTCCTAAGGATTTACTGCAAAACAAAATGAAAGAAAAATGTTACTCAATTCCATGTGAACCAAATATTCAAAAAGCTTATGAGACTATTGACGATAAAACTAGGAAGTATAATATACATTGTAACAATTACTCTCTCGAACTCAAATTGAAAGAATCTGATTGGAGAATTTGGTATAATGTGTCACATGTTTAATGAACAAGGAGCAGCCACCAGAATAGGCTATCGTGAAAACGGATACCTTGTTAGAAGCCGCCTTAGTCGTTCTTTTAGTACAACATGATCAAGATCATCAAGAATGTCATCAGAGATCTGAGTTCTAATTTTAACTGCTTCGAGGCCAGCCCCAATGGAACCTTTTGTGCACTTTCTTAACGGGTTCATGACACCATTGTCAGTGCATTCAACCTTCACCACAACAGGACATTCTGACAATAATGACTCATTGAGTGAAATACTATCAATAGAATCAACTTTCTCTGGTGTTGGGACAACACAAGTCATCTGATTCGTAGTCATGCAATTATCTGCTACAGTTCCTTGGTTCTTGCATTCTCTTGACCCACCTGCAATTTGTCAAAGTAATATTATGTGCAAATAGATCCAACAGAAGGACACTAACTTGGGAGATTTTTTTTCTTCTTGTTCCTTGAGTGGAAGAGTGGTCGATGTGGAGGCTATTTTTTTATTCCTATGATTTTCAAATACTTCTAACAAAGAAAAATACAGCATAAGATTAATTACCAGAAAGCCTTCGTTCCCATAATACCCTCTCAATAATCTCTTCTTGAACAGAACCAGAATTGGAATGCTGTAGAAGGTCAAAGAATCGAAATAAACAAATTACTGATAAATATAGGGATAGGATGATAGCTTAACAAGCACTTTACACAGCACCTCCTTGACAGGGAGTTAACCCCGAGGGAATTTTTTCCCAGCATGTAAAGTTAGATACGTAAAATCATGAAGTTGGCATCTACTGACACTCTGTGTTTTAGCAACGTGGAATCCTCGTGACAAATTTTCCATTCGAATTTCATACCGTAACTTTATGATTGTTTTTGGATTTCAATTTCCAAAATCTTATGTCCTCAATGCTAAATGAAGCATGATTGAACTTGGTGTGTGAAAAAAGTTCTGCATACACAGCAGCTGGCACTATCCATAACAATGGCGACAATACTACTAACATCCATATCAGAGGGCCACGCAACAGGTGATGAATAAAAAAGAAGCCATTTTAACAATGTCTTTTTAGGATTACCAACTTGGTAATTTCAAAATTAAGAAATACCAGACCAAAAGGGCAGTTTTGATGCTACCAAGGGATGGAGAGCCCTTGATATTGCACATACCAAATGTATCCATCTGTTTATGTGAAAAGACTGCCATTTATTAATTCTGTGGTGTGAATCAAAAAGACAAACTTGAAATGACTACCCATCATTACTTCTCAAAACTAAAGCACAATAAAATCGTGCACATTGCAAACATTTCAGAAGTTCCAAGATCAGACCCATAAATGTTTGCACATAAAAAGTACCAAAATAATACCTGTGAATCACATTCATCGTTTTCCTTTTTAAAAACTAGAATGCCAGTCGAATTTCTGCAGCAATCAAACAAAGCTTAAAACTCTAAAATCAAAATCAAAAACAGCTTGTAACAAAAAGGGGTGAAATTTAATAACTCACATGGGTTCGACTCCAATTTCGCTGTCCGGTTTAGCATCGAAGCCCAAATGCAGACGCTGGCTTGCTAACAACAATTTCAATCGCTGCTTTAACGGCACACGCTCCTGCTCCTCCGACCAAATGGATCTCTGAACTTCATTTTCGGATTTTATTTCAGATTGAGCCATTTCAGGGGGAAAAATGGTTCCTTACTACTGCCGATTAAGATGATTTTGGGATCATTTTAAGCGTCAAAGATATAAAGCTAGGGCTTTGTGCAGAGTCACGTAGCAGTAGCGTGTGATGTGTACACAAACTGTGGACGTGGAGAGAGGAGAGGGGATGAAGCTACGTGGGTTTTGGATGTAGAGGCGGGTGGTGGAGTGGGGTGGGGTGATGGCAATGCGAGTTGGCGCGCAGAGAGAGTACAAAGATTCTAACTTGCAAAATGCCCTTTCCGTGAGAGAGAGGGTGGGGGCGCGGGGGAGGGGAAGTTTGTGGGTGGGCGTGCGGGGATTCTTGTATTATTTGGATAAAATATCATAATTATGCTCCCTCTCCTTCTCCCTCTCTCGGGACGGGTTCGGGGCGGGACACCCTCTTCCCACCCTGCCCCGCCACTCCCCCATCCCATCCCGCCCCGCACCCCGCCCCACCTTAGACGGGTCGGGGCAGGTTCGGGGTACAAACTTGCCCCGTTTCCTGTCCCGTTTATTTTTTTTTTTAAAAACTTCAAATTAACTATTTTATGTTTTTAATTTATAATTAATTATTTTTTTTATAATTCACGGGACAGGTTCGGAGCGTTTCGGGGCAGGGCACCCCTTCCTTACCTCGCCCCACCAACCCATCAGGGCGGGTTTTTTTTTGCCATTACTACTCTCTCTCAAAATTTAAGTAGAGGGGTATTTAATTAATATTATTGAGAGAAGAATATGTTTTAAATAATAATGTGATCGAAAATATGTGGTTAAAAATATGGAAAATTTTTGAATGTTATGAAAAATATTATTTTATTAAAAAATGCGCGGTTGAAAATGAATTTTGAAATAATGTAGATCAAACAGGGGTTAAAAAAGACAATAGATATTACAATTCCTATTATCGAGTATAATCGACTTCAATATATTTGAAATATGACCAAAATAGCATAGATTATCATGCTTTTTAAACTTGAAATAACTACTAGTTTATACGAGATGAATATACTTCGCTAGGAGAAAAGTCGTCTTGTCCGCAATTTACATTCCAACTTTCTTCCTCCATTGAGGGCCATCGTAATGAGACACGATTGAAGATTAAGAGGAAAGATTTTTGGGATAAGAGCACTAGCTTAGCTTGTGGTGTATTTTAATTTTCTTTTTGTGATGCATTTTTATCTTAGTCAATGATAAGAACATTTATTTCCTTTTGTAATCAATATTCATACAACAACCTGTGGCACCTCTAACCCACTTTGAATTTTATGACGTTCAATTGCACCCTTGGTTAAACCCTTATTTGGCTTAGTTAAAAATTGGATTTTGGTAAATTTTGATAAAATGTGGAGTTGAAAAGTTGGTAAAAGTTGTGAATTCATTCTCACGTGAAATATATCCAACATAGTTGCAATTAGATTCAACGAGATGGGGTACAATGCATTGTGCTACTATAAGCACGTTTGGTTGGGGCATAAGAGAAGTAGCCATCTTATAAGTAAAATAAGTACTTATTATAAAGCTCATATGTTTGGATGTAATGTTTTAAAACCCAGATCGGACATTGACTAGGAAAAGCAAAACGGTCAAGGGGCTAAATGATAGAATCAGGGTCGAATCGAAAAGTTAAATATAAAAATAAATAAATATATTTTCAAATAATAAATAATATTAAATAATAGTATAATATTGTTAATTGAATATTTGGAGGGTCTTTAATTTTTTCTTAAATTAAAAAATATAGAAAAATAATTAATTTATTCAAAATCACTACAAAATTTGATTGCCACTACAAAATAAAAAAAAAAAATATGTGATTAAAAAATTGATAAAAGCTGTGAATTTCACAAAATGTGTTATTAAAAACGAGTTTGATAAAACAAATGAGTTTTAAAGAAATAGGGGCCATGTTAACATGGACTAAGAAACACTTTTTGGCGAAATTTGAACTTATAAGCTAATTTGACTATCTTATAAGCTCACCTAAATGTCCTCTATGACTACCAATAGCACAACTATGCCATACATTCTTGGCCTAAGCGCACATTTTTAGGACTTGATAAAACCCCCGAATCGAACCGGACTCGAATCAAATTGAATCGAATCGAGCGTTTATTCTTAAATTAAATACACGAACGAGTATATAAATATAAACCAACGGGTTCGGTTCGGTTCTCGATTTTAGACCTAGAACCGAATGACTAAATAAGAACTGAATCTCCCTAATTTTTTTATTTTAAATAAGTCAAATTATTTTATTTTTTTCTAAATGAATTTGCTAACTAATGAATTTAGCTCATACCTAAAATTTGATTTTACTATTTTCAATTTTTAGCAAAGCCCAACTTAATCAAATTGACCTAAATTTTACCCAAATCTCTTATTCTACCATAGTATCGTTTCTGTAGTTCTATTATTCTGAACTCGCTATCTTCCTCTTCTTGTGATTTTAACAGTCAAATTTATGAAAAACTCAACAAAGAAATGTGCAAAAGATATCACCAGATTAAATTACGTTATTTTATAGAGTTAAGACTGAACATGTTATAGTCGAATTAATATAGCGTTGTTGTAAATATATATATAAAAAAATTATTGTACGGAATCCAGGAACTCAATAGAATCGAACTGCATCGAATGGAACCAAACTCGAACGGTTCCATAATTAAATTTGGATCTGACGATTCCATTTACTAAATACTCGAAAATTCTGATTCAGTTCAATTCGGAAGAGAACCAAACCGGACATGTCTAGCCCTACACATTTTCCTACATATTCACTCTATTGCAATACGTTTCTCTAAATTCTCACCGGGGACTGAGGAAATCAACCCTTTGTATGGGGACAAATATCGAGGATTTGGACAACAAATTGGAGAAAAAAGGGGAACAAAGTCCTCGTTTGAAGAAACAATTGTTTTTGGCTATGAACAAGGAAGCGGCACAGCTTCATTAGTTCATTGGAGGAGCTCTGGTTTTGTTATTGATATATATTTTTTATATTAAAATAGTTCTTTTTAGTAAAACTGGCATTTTTTTCAACAATATTGTAGCGCCCCGAGTTCTGTTAACCCTGATTGCCACGTCATCGTCTTTTGCCCTAATTTTGTCAATCAATTTTGCGGAAATGACCTAATTTTAAAATCACATTTGCAATTGAAAACTACGTCGGCAATTAAAATACATTGGATAATTGTTCAAAANTTCAGTGACCGTTAGTGCAATTTTGGAATTTCAGTGGCCGTTTTGTTATTTTGACGTAACTTCAGTGACCATTTGTGAAATTAACCCTTAAAAAATTTGATTATAGTACGGAACCGAACGGAACCGAACCGACCCGAACCGAACCGAACGGAACCGAACCCGAACGGTTCCATAATTATATTTGGACCCGACTGGTCCATTTATTAAATACACGAAAGTTTTGGGTCGGTTCGGGTATCTTCAGAACCGAACCGAACCGACCCACGGACAGCCCTACAATTTACATTCCAACTTTCTTCCTCCATTGAGGGCCATCGTAATGAGACACGATTGAAGATTAAGAGGAAAGATTTTTGGGATAAGAGCAATAGCTTAGCTTGTGGTGTATTTTAATTTTCTTTTTGTGATGCATTTTTATCTTAGTCAATGATAAGAACATTTATTTCCTTTTGTAATCAATATTCATACAACAACGGCAACCTGTGGCACCTCTAACCCACTTTGGATTTTATGACGTTCAATTGCACCCTTGGTTAAACCCTTATTTGGCTTTGTTAAAAATTGGATTTTGGTAAATTTTGATAAAATGTGGAGTTGAAAAGTTGGTAAAAGTTGTGAATTCATTCTCACGTGAAATATAGCCAACATAGTTGCAATTAGATTCAACGAAATGGGGTACAATGCATTGTGCTGCTATAAGCACGTTTGGTTGGGGCATAAGAGAAGTAGCCATCTTATAAGTAAAATAAGTACTTATTATAAAGCTCATATGTTTGGATGTAATGTTTTAAAACCCAGATCGGACATTAACTAGGAAAAGCAAAACGGTCAAGGGGCTAAATGATAGAATCAGGGTCGAATCGAAAAGTTAAATATAAAAATAAATAAATATATTTTCAAATAATAAATAATATTAAATAATAGTATAATATTGTTAATTGAATATTTGGAGGGTCTTTAATTTTTTCTTAAATTAAAAAATATAGAAAAATAATTAATTTATTCAAAATCACTACAAAATTTGATTGCCACTACAAAATAAAAAAAAAAAATATGTGATTAAAAAATTGATAAAAGCTGTGAATTTCACAAAATGTGTTATTAAAAACGAGTTTGATAAAACAAATGAGTTTTAAAGAAATAGGGGCCATGTTAACATGGACTAAGAAACACTTTTTGGCGAAATTTGAACTTATAAGCTAATTTGACTATCTTATAAGCTCACCTAAATGTCCTCTATGACTACCAATAGCACAACTATGCAATACATTCTTGGCCTAAGCGCACATTTTTAGGACTTGATAAAACTCCCGAACCGAACCGGACTCGAATCAAATTGAATCAAATCGAGCGGTTATTCTTAAATTAAATACACGAACGAGTATATAAATATAAACCAACGGGTTCGGTTCGGTTCTCGATTTTAGACCTGGAACCGAATGACTAAATAAGAACCGAATCTCCCTAATTTTTTTATTTTAAATAAGTCAAATTATTTTATTTTTTTCTAAATGAATTTGCTAACTAATGAATTTAGCTCATACCTAAAATTTGATTTTACTATTTTCAATTTTCAGCAAAGCCCAATTTAATCAAATTGACCTAAATTTTACCCAAATCTCTTATTCTACCGTAGTATCGTTTCTGTAGTTCTATTATTCTGAATTCGCTATATTCCTCTTCTTGTGATTTTAACAGTGAAATTTATAAAAAACTCAACAAAGAAATGTGCAAAAGATATCACCAGATTAGATTACATTATTTTATAGAGTTAAGACTGAACATGT